CAGCCAACCCAGGTTCAATTCCCAGCATCCCATATGGTCCCGAGCAATGCCAGAAATGATTCCTGAGTGCAGAGCCAGGAGTGACCCCTGAGCATCGCCAGGTGTGACCCAAAAAGCAGAAAGAAAAAAAAAAAGGTCTTTGTGATCATGTAACATATACTGAAGCAAATAAGGAACATTGTGCCTGCAAGTGATTTTCTCAAGTGTTCAAAGCAATAAATTTGTACATATTTATAAAAAGAAAAAGACAGAACAACCAACGTAAAAATATATTTGGAGAATCTGAGTAAAAACCCACAGGAATTCTCTGTACTATTCTTGACATTTTTCATGTCTGAAATTATGTCAAAATAACTAAAAAGGAGTATGAGGGTTAATCCTTTGTAGCTTAGACTAAAATAATAGAAAAACTTCCTTGGTTTAATGGTTCGAACTTGCAAGTGAATTAGTAAAGTACTCTTAACTATATCTCAGTAATAAATATAGAATAAAATCTATAATCCTAGCAGAAAAATGACAACTTTACCTCTGGTGGGAAATAAAAAGGTAAAAAAAGAAAGTAAGCTAGATGATGGATAAGTTTTAGATTATTTTTTGGTAGTTGAGGTTGTTTTGGGCCACACCAGGTGATGCTCAGGGGTTACTCCTGACTGTACTCAAGAATTAGTCCAGTCCTGGTGGTGGTCAAGAGGCCATATGGGATGCCAAAGATCAAAGCCAGGTTAGCTATGTGTAAGGCAAGTGCCCTACCTGCTGTATTATGAGCTGGCCAATTTTAGCTTCTTAGCAATTGATTTATTTCATCTTGAGCCACATCCACATGCACTCAAGGCTTATTCCTGGCTTTGCACTTAGGGATCACTCCTAATAGGCTTCGCGATCATAAGGGATGCCGGGGATCAAACTTAGATCAGCCACGTGCAAGGCAAGCACCCTACTCACCATACTATGGTTCCCACACCTTAGCTGATTTTTATAAGCATTTCTCCACTTAAGAAGGGGGAAAGGGAGCGCAGATAGAGAAGGGAGCACCAAATAAAGGGTGTTGGGAGGATCCTCCCAGGATGGGAAAATCATGCTGAAAGTAGACTACAGACCAAACATGATTGCCGCTCAATGCCTCTTTTGCAAACCACAACACCCAAAAGAAGAGAGAGAACAAAAGGGAATGCCCTGCCACAGAGGCAGGGTGGGTGGGGGAATGGGGGGTAGAAGGGATACTGGGATCCGTGGTGGTGGAAAGTGGGCACTGGTGGAGGGATGGGTGCTTGATCATTGCATAAACCGAAGCACAAAAATCTGTAAGTCTACAACTGTACCTCATGGTGTTTCACTAATAAAAATTTTTTAAAAATAAAAACTTAAAAAAAGAGAATCAAATTTTAGTTAATGTCATCACAAAATTTTAGAAGTTGACACTCTCGCCACTTTTATCATTCTGTTAAAAAGCAATAGCACTCACATTAGACTACATCTGCTGATTCCATAAGGCAAACAAAAAAAATTTTTTAACCGTTAAGAACTTGGAAGAGGAACTATGCAGTCAATAATCTAATAAGTACGGTGATATACTAATATTTTGGAATAAAGGGAGGAAAAAAAAGAGTAAAAGGCTATAGTTTTGGGGTAGGGGTTATTTTTCTTTTTTTCTTTCTCTATTTTTGGTGGGGATCAAACTGAAAGGCCTTATAAGTGGAAGGCAAGTGTTCTACTATAAGCTACAATCCCAATAGAAAGATGCAATTATGCTGCATAAAGATCCTTAGAATCATATGACTACTCAACTTGAAAATTTTTATATTTTCCTAACTGAATGTTCCTAAGACACTTGCTGGAACTCACATCCTTATATCTAGGTTAAAAACCTGGAAAAACAAGTAGGTTTACAAAAGCATGTTTCATTCCTGCATAGATGTCCTCAGTGTGGTCAGCCTGGCAGGGAAGTGGGCAGTGCAGTGTTACTCAGAACAGGGCCATACTAGGTGGGGCTTGGGAGGCAGAGATGACAGAGACTGAACAGGGATTTTGAGCACACTTGAGGCATGTTCCCTCCCATTCCCCACCCCCCCCTTTGAACTATCTCCCTGGCCCCAAAAATATTCTAATGAAGAAACAGGAACACATCTGCTGGACTGCTGGACTATGGTTTGTTCCCCAGCATATCCACCTGAACAATGCTAGGCATAGCCCCAGAGACCCCTGAGCACCAGTGGTTTTGGCCCTAGAGGTTCCTGGCATGGCTGGGCAGCACTGAATCTTTAGAACCAAGCATTAAGTCCTAGACCAGTTGGCCCAAGCAGTACAAGAGGCAAGTCCCCAGGACTCTGAGCACTGCTTTCCTTATTTTATCAGGAAAAATAGGGTATTATATTTTAAATTAGAAGCAAGAGTTAGATCATCTAAAGAAAACTTCAGCAGATAGGTCAGTTTATGAATAATCAACACAGAATAAATAATCTAATTAAACTTTTATTTCTGTAAAATAAAGCTAAGGCAAGGAATTTAGCTGGGCAGTAGAATGCATAGAGTGCACGTGTAGGTCCCTGGGTCCAATACTAGGTATCAAAGATTTTTTTCAAAACTCAAATTCTAATATCATGACGCTCAGAATCTATACAGTAAGTGACATTAAGAACGGAATACACTGCATTTTCTTAACTATAATAAACAGTTCACCAGGCTTAAACTTCTTAGAGAATAGTGGTTTTTTTATACTAATGCAATAAAAAAGTAGTTATAAATCAAAATATCGAACAGGTAAACACTACACAAAACTCCACAGTAAGCCTCCACAACAAATTAAACCAGAGGGCTGGAGCGATAGCACTGCAGGTAGGGCATTTGCCTTGCATGCTGCCAACCCGGGTTTCATTCCCAGCATACCATATGGTCCCCCGAGCATAGCCAGGAGTAATTCCTGACTGCATGAGTCAGGAGTAACCACTGTGCATCGCTGGGTATGACACAAAAAGCAAAATAAATAAATAAATAAAACCATTAAAAAATGCTTTATTAAAGAAATTAAAACTCTTTTACATTATACCTAAAAGTTAATAATGAATTTGCCTTCTAATATAAAAAAAGTTTATATGATATTTGCCTGTTATCCTCTTTTTACCCTTTTATACAATAAAAAAGGTTAGATTAGCAGGAATCAATTGCCAGTTCAAAATAAAATTTTCCAAAAATATGCTTCAAGTTTCTTCACTTGATACTCTAAGTCTTAAAAGGCTTTACATGTAGCTCTTTTTAAGTTTGATTCTCAAGATAAAAATTAATTCACTTCTTTTTAAAGAGATGTTTACTGCAAAATTTACACTTTCACAGTACAATAGATCAAGATATATAAAGTAAAAAAATACCTACATGTATCAAAAGATACCCAGATACTAAGAAGTAAATTTCTCTCAAAGCAAGGCCAGAAGGATAATTGGGTGGGGGACTGGAGGTAGTATAGCAGTTAAGGTGCTTGCCCGGCATGCAGCTATCTCAGGTTTGATCCTAGGCATCCCATATAGTTCCCCAACCACCGCCAGGATTAATTCCTGAGTGTAATTCCAGAAGTAACCCCTGAGAATTAACAGTTGTGGCCCTAAAAAAAGGGATAACCTGCAGTATAGTAATTTTTAAATGGTAACTAGAAATGTATATATATAAAATCTAGAAAGGAATTGTGGGTCCTTTCATGTTTTTAATAGTTGTCTTTTCACACAGAAAAGAGAAATCATGGGGCTGGAGTGAGAGTACAGTGGGTAGGGCACTTGCCTTGTACACTGATGATCTGGGTTCAATCCCCAGAACCCCATAATGTCCCTTGAGCACCACCAAGAGTGATCCCTGAGTGCAGAGCCAGGAGCAAGTCCTAAGCACCGTTGGGTGTGATCTCAACACTGTCCCCTCCAAATAATACTTGAGCTTTAAATACAATAAAAAGACAGGTAACAAAATTCAGATCTTTTCAGATTTTTTGTGACAGGATACTCAATGAGTGTTATTTATTAGGCTTTGCCTCTCCGGCTATTAAGCAAGATTCAGTTTCAAGACATAAGTGAAACTTTTTTAAAAAACAAGTGTAGTGGTGCTTGGATTGGTGTTGGAATATTAATGCCTATAACAAATCATCATAAACTTTGAAAACCATAGTGTTTAAATAAAACACTGGTGGCAGTAGGGGAGACCAAGTGTACTTTCTATCATCAAGATAGTTTTTGGTGTACTATATGAAATTATAGAAAATTATTTAGTAATAAAGCTCAGTAAGCACAATTTTGAGTTAGTTACCAAGTTACATGCTGATTCTGTAAAGACAACTGAATTAACAGATGTAAGAGGAACATCATAGCAGATCTCAGCTATTACCTTCTAGCTATTATATTTTTTTATCTCTATTTTACTTTCTAACTGGGTATAAACAGTATAGTCATACAAATAGGACTGACTCTCTTTCCCTTTTATTTATGTCTGGATTATTATTGCATAATGCATCAAGTTCTAAAATCTAGGATCTAATATTTATAAAATAAATCATAACAAAATTTAATATGATCATTAAATATTGCTCAATATAGAGCAGTAATTCAGTATTGGTAGTTTTATCACTACCTAGCAGTAAGTCTTAACATTATACAGGCATCACAAAGAGATTTTCTTGAAACCAAGATTCATACCATATTAAAGAGAAATGTTAAAAACTATGCACTATAAAAAAAAATCTGCAAAGAGGAAGTGAATTTAATTTTGGCATTGACTAGATGTTTAAAAATTAAATCAAAATAAATTTTAAGGCTGAAATCTACCAAAAGTCGTATTAAAGAATTTAGTTCCCCAATCTCAATAAACTGGTGCGAAATATGTTGAAAATACTCAATATCACATTTTCTTGCTCTCAGTTTCTATCACCATGCAGACATACGTTCAACATATATTTAAGAAAAATATAATATTTAACAAAAATATAGTTCTAAGTTCTCTCCCACCCCCATAATTCCTTATAATCTTACCCCATTCTGTGCCATCCCCTGAACTCCGTGCTTCCCCAGCTCCTTCACCATCTTCAGCAGTCACTAAAAAATCAAATTCTTTCAGGGCTTCCTCAGTATCAGGATCATCAGTTAGGTCAGCAGCTAAACCTTCATTACCTATCTGTAAATGGAACAGACTTAAGTTTTATCCTCAAGCTCAAAGGGATCTATTATATTTCACACAATCATCCTCAAATTCCCTTTTCAAAATCACTAGATATGTTTTTCGTAGACTTCACCGGTTTTAAATTATATCCTGGATAAATGGTTCTCAGCACAGTTATGTGAACAAAATTAGTTTTAAAATGTGAAGTTAGGTAGGGTTACAGTGCTTATTAAAATTAGTTAACTTCTTTAATTACGAAAGATTCAGTTACCCTTATTAAATGCCCATTTACTAGCTTACATACTGATATATTACTAGAATTGGTCTTACTAAGAATTATACATAAAATCCATGATTTATAGGGATATGAAACACGCAACTAATAAGGAAATTAACTAAAGTATGCCAATAGCTGTAATCACTGCAATAGTGCTTTAGCAACTTCAGAAAAGGATCAGCATCTCTATTCAAAATGGTTTCAAAACCACTAGGCTAACTTTATAAAACTAGTGAGCAAAGGACAATTCCATCCACATGTAGATAAGTATGAAATGACTACATAAAACTCTCAAGTAAGATGATAAATTAAAAACTGATTATACTCCCAATGTAAATCAAAACATTTTGAAAATTCTTATTCTAAACATAAGAGTATTTACCTATCTATCTACATATATAGATATACTTGCTAATAAAATATAGATTCAAACTCCTACTTTGTGCTTATTTATCCGATGTTTATCTTTTCCTTCTGAGATGCCTTCAATCATGTCATTTTCCTCTTCTTCATCACTGTCATCAGCATTTTCTAAGAAATTGAATGTCTCAAGAACATCACCAGAGGGCCTACAGAAGGGGAAAGATGAGCCCAAACATTCGAATGGTTAATTTTAATGTTTCTTCCTATTGCTATTTAAATAAAAGAAGAAACAAAAAACTTGATGTTTAAAAGCTGGGGATTGAACTCAAGGCTCCTGCATGCAAAGCATGAATTCTAGCCCACTGACCTATCATTCTGGCCCCCATTTTGTGGTTTTAGGTCATATCTGGCGGTTCTCAGGGGCTACTCGTGGTGGTGCTCAAGAGATCATAAGCAATGCTGTGGATCAAAATGGGGTAGGTCACATGAAAGGCAAGTACTTTAACCCCTGTACTATCTAAAGCACCTTTCTTCCTGCAGGGGATCTAGGTTCAATCCCTGGCACTATGTGGTTCCCTGAGTATCAGTGGCAAGTGATGCCCGAGTACAGAACCAGGAGTATCCCCTGAGAACTTCCCCAAAATTTCCTTCTTCCCCAAACAATCTTTGACATATTTACATTTTCTCTTATGCTATAAAATGTTTCATGTGGGGCTAGAAAAATAGTGTAGAAGGGATCCAGAGATAGCACAGCAGAAAGGCACTTGCCTTACATGTGGCTGACCTGGATTCAATCCCCGGCATTCCATATGGTCCCCAGAGCATGGCCAGGAATTATTTTCTGAGTGCAGAACTAGCTATAACCCTTATTTATTGCCAGGTGTGGCCCCAAAACCAAAAAGAAAAAAAAAGAAAAAAAAAGGTACAGCAGGTACAGCACTTGCCTTGCACGTGACCAAGTTGGATTTGATCTACAGCAATCCATATGGTCCCTGAGCCCCGCCATAAGAGATCCCTAAGCACAGAGCCATGAGTAAAAGCCCTGAGACTGCCAGTTGTGGTCCAAAAAACAAAAAACAAAAAGGCTGTATGTTTCTGAAATCCAGAGTAAAGAAAGAAAATAAAGTCTCTAAAAGAAGTCAAACTTTTTATTAAAGAGACCTTACTTCTCAGAAATAAAATTTCTAACTAAAGATTACGCTTATTTAATAGTGATAGAACATATTTTAGATAACTGCATAATAATGTCAACAAATAAAAACCTGACATCCTAGATTATAAACTGTACTTATATCATTAAATCATAAATTCATAAAAGTTTGAATAATAAAGCCTGCTCTCACCCCAATACACACACGATTGAGGGAAGAACCTATACTCAACTATAGATCTTATGAATTTCTTGATTTCTATGCTATCTCAAAGGAAACCCACACCAGTCTCTTTTTGTTATTGTCCTTCCATCTTGTTACTCAGATAACATCTACAGGTAAAAAATTGAAAAATCTATTTTTTAAGTCATCTGTTTGATTCCATGCATTTATCAAGCCTACATTAATAAAAAAAAATATGGGACAGACATAAATTTAGTGCTGAAATTAATATATAAAAAATCAGAACCCTGGGGCTGGAGCGATAGCACAGCGGGTAGGGCGTTTGCCTTGCACACAGCCTACCCGAGTTCCAATTTCCAGCACCCCATATGGTCCCCCAAGCACCGCCAGGAGTAATTCCTGATTGCAGAGCCAGGAGTAACCCCTGTGCATTTGCCGGGTGTGACCAAAAAAAGCAAAAAAAAAAAAAAAAAAAAAAAATCGGAATCCTGGGGCTGAAGGGATAGTGCAGGATTAAGGGTTTACCTTGCATGCTGTGAGCCTTGGTTCAGATCCCTTACACTATATATGGTTCTTTGAGCTCAAAGCCAGGAGTAAACTCTGAATACTGCTAGATATGGACCAAACCCCTCTCACCCCTCCTTCCCAGCCCCCCAAAATTTCAATCCGTACAAATTTCGGGTATGAAAGCAAAATAGTCCTGTCATTTTGGAAAAAAACTTGGAAGTTCCTCTATGAAGTAAACATAAAATTATGACTCAAAAAGTCCATTCCTTGATATATACTAAAAAAGAAATTTTAATGTAAATACCAATGATCAATGTATTATATACTATTTCAAAAATGCATATAATGGTATACTATCTCCAACAAGGCCAGTGAGATAGTACAAAGGTAAAGCATTTACCTTACGTGCAGCGAACCCTAGTTTGCTCCTCTGCACCAAAAAAAGGTTCCCTGAACACTGCCAATAATAGTCCTTGAACACAAAGCCAGGAGTAGCCTCTGAGCACTGCTGACTATGGTCCAAAATCCAAAACAAAATAAAAATGAGGACCCAAGCAACATGTTTATAAAATGAACAATGGATAAACAAAATCTGGCATATTCATAGAAAAAAATATTCCAGGCAATGACACACAAGACAGCTAAGTCAAAGATGTCACTCACAATTATATGAAGAATCTAAAGTAGGAAACACTATATACATTGAACGGAGATTAGTCATTGCCAATGCCAATAGAGGTAACAGGTATAGGGAACAATAGAAAGGGGCAGGTCTCCACTAGGAGATGTGTTTTTTTAGGGTGATGAAAATGTTCAAAACTGTGGCAATGGCTGAATGATTCTGCAAATATTCTAAAAATAATTGACAATACTTTAAATGGGTGAATTTATGATAATATGACCTTTGTCATAAAAAGCATTAAGTAGTTGGTAGATTTCTGAGATCAAGCATAACAGACTTATTTCTTTCACATTAGTGTCCAATAACCACTGTTATTCTAGAGTAGCATTGTAAATTACTAGAAGTACTCTAGCCTCCACCCACAAAAAAATTCAATCAAAATACCATGAAGCTAAAATAATTTTGAACTGCAAGAAATAACTCCAAATTTTAATTCTGTACCTACTTCAGAACTACAATCATTCTCTTGGCATCTAAATTTAACATAAAAATTTAAAGTAAATATAACTGATTTACTTGTGATAGCAAATGTATGGGAACATAGGGAAATTTATAAACTACATTTTGGGGTGCAGAAGATGACTCAAGGACTTAAACCATTTGCCAGGCAAGCACATGGCACTGAGTTCAATCCCCAGTGACTGTGACCAAGTCTGGAGGCAACACTGACAAATCTGCTATTAGAGATCCCCAGGGGACGAGCCAGAAGATGTCTTGGTGGCTTAGGTAACTCCCAATGCCAAGTATGAGGTTTTGTGTTTAATCCCCACAGTCACACATCTGTCAAGATAATTCTTGCCATCCTAAGGTATAGGACCCCACCAAGAGAAAATTAAAAAATAAAAAGAATAAAAAATTTAACAGTAGTAACAATAATAGAGAGATAGCATATACAGAAGGCCCATTATATAAACAGTATCAACCAACTAAGTATAGTTCATACCTTTTGATATCTTGTCCTTTTTGCTTAGGAGATTCACCTCCATTCAAAATCTGTTCTAAATTCTTTGTTTCTACTGATCCATTTGGTTCTGAATTGGATAATCCAAGTAATGACCTTACCCGCTGAGACCGTACATCTAATATTGTATCTGTGTAACCTACTTCCTGAAGGTATCTATAAGAAAAATTTAAAATATTAAATCATATATATTGTTAATAGATGCCAAAATCACACATTAAATAAAAATCATACGTAAAGATTTTTATTCAAACTCAAAATCCTATAAAATTACTTTGAAATAATTTTCTTCTCTCTAGACTAATTCAAGTGCTAAGAGACAGAGCCAATTACAAATGAAAATTTGAGATAGCATACTGTATGGCTGACACTAAAGGGTCAATTATTCAGAAACCTAAAAAGTCTTGAACCTTAAGAAACCTTTAAAATCTCATAATGCATTTCTGATGAGGCAAAAAAAAATTATATGCTGAAAACATACACAATCACATAAGCTATGTTAACTCTAAGAAAAAGGTTGTGGGCAAAGAGATAGTATAGGAGGTAAAGCAAATTATTTGCCTTGCTTGTGGCCTGGCTTGAATTCCCAGCACCAGCACCACATATGGTTCCTGAGCACCTCTAGGGATCATGCCTAAATACAGAGCCAGAAATAGCCCCTAACCACCACTGTAGTCCAAACACACACACACACACACACACACACACACACAAAAAAAAAAAAAAAACAAAGAAAATTGTAGCACAGGATCAGAAAGCTACTACAGGGGTTAAGGAACTTGTCTTATACCTGGCTGACTCATTTCAACCCTGGCACTGCAAACAGTCCCTGAGTACCACCAGGTGAGACTTCCTGAATATAGAGCCAGAAATGAGCCCTGAGCACAGCAGAGTACAGTACAAGATTTAGTGGGTGTGGGAGGGCATACAAAAACATATTGTTAAAATAAGTTGGGAAGCGGAACACTAAGGGCTAGAAAAATGATTCAAAGGGTTCAATCTTCAACACTGCACATGGTTTCTAGCTCCACAAAGAATGGATCCCTGGGAGCTGGAAAGAAAGCACGGCAGGTAGGGGTCTGGCTTGCATGTGGCCGACCCAGGTTCAATTCCCAGCATCCCATATGGTCCCCTGAGCACCGCCAGGAGTAATTTCTGAGTGCAGAGCCAGGAGTAACCCCTGTGCATCACCGGGTGTGACCCAAAATGGGGGAAAAAAAAAAAAAACAGATCCCTGACTGTAGAGACAGAAGTAATCCCTGAGCACAGGCAGGTGTGGCCCAAAAACCAATGCCCTACACCCCAGCTACACACACATACCCATACACCCCTTAATTATGTTTGTGAGTTGCTTCAGGAGAACATCAAAATAGAAAACACATTATATATCTGAGAAATGAACAAAGAAGACAAAAGACTACAGTAGATAAACTACTCTCGGAGTGAGATAAGATGAGATAACGTACAGGTGACCCAAAAAACAAACAAAAGAAAATATGAATCCAGTGAATGGGATTAGGTAATTCTTAGAGAACTACTCTAAAAGTGTACTGTCCCACTCTTATGATCTATGTGATCCCTTTGTGGAAGGTGTAATTTCCACCCCATTTTAAACATAGGGTCTGAATGAATTACCAAGATCTTATATAACCCAGGTAAAAATAACAGATTTATAAGCAGTTATGTAATGAAGTAAGACAATTCAAATCCTCAGAAGTTGTACAGACTAAAATAGGAATTTCCTTTGTATCTAGGAAAAAAGTGGCTTTCAATACGAAGACATAAAACTAATCACAAAAGAGTGAAAGAGAGAGAGAGAGAGAGAGAGAGAGAATATAACACACGAGTTTCTAGTTCCTTGAGGTATTTCTAGTTCCCCAATGTTACATCCATTTTTGTTTTGTTTTTTTGCAGAGCAAAAGGGGTTTTTACACAATGAACATCATACATTTCTAGTTTTCTATATTAGTCTCTAGTAAACCGAAAAAAATGTTTTCTTTTGGTTTGGGGCTATATCCAGTGGTACACAGGGGTCATTCCTTCTGGTACGCAGGGGACCATGTTGTGCCAGGGACTGAACCCAATCTCCAGTATTCAAAGCATGAGCTCCAGCCCACTAATTTGTCTCTCTGACCTGTCTGGAAAATAAGTTTAAGAAAGCTGAGGGTTTTTTTTTTTTGCCTTTTGGGTCAGACCCACGATGCTAAGAGATTATTCCTGACTCTACACTCAGGAATTACTCGTAGTCATGCTCAGGGGATCATATGGGCTGCCAGGGATGGAACCCAGGTCGGCCGTGTGCAAGGCAAACGCCCTATTGTGCTATCACCACAGCCCCAGAAGACAGATTTTTTCCCCTCACACCTCAACTTTTCACATTTCCTTGTTTAAAAGTAAAATACACATAAAACACGGTCACGATCCTCCCGTTGTTCATCGATTTGCTCGAGCGGGCCCAGTAACGTCTCCATCATGAGACTTGTTGTTACTGTGTTTGGCATATCGAGTACATCATGGGTAGCTTGCCAGGCTCTGCCGTGCAAGCGAGATACTCTCGGTAGTGTGCCGGGCTCTCTGAGAGGGGCGGAGGAATCGAACTCTGGTCGGCCACGTTGGCTGCATGCAAGGCAAATGCCCTACTGCTGTGCTATTGCTCCAGCGATACACATAAAGCGAAAAAAAAATTTTTTTTTCAGTCACAGAGACAGTACAGAGGTTAAGGCACTTGCCTTGCATGTGGCTATGGCTATGACAATCGTTCGAATCTCAGTAACATATATGGTCCATTCCCCAAAGCACCACCCTGTATGATCACTAACCACAGAGCCAGGTGTGCCCCTCCCCCACTTATTTTCTTTTCTTTTGTGGGGCAGGGATTAAGCATGAGATATATGCATGTTATCACTGAACCACATAACCTGTGTTTCCTCCCCCACCTAAAAATATTCAAGTTTAAAATCCAGTGGCATTTCAGGACATGCTACAATCGCTATTGTCTTCCCAACACTAAGGTGCTCAGCACTTCTCTCAATTCTGATACCTCCCCCTAGAATTCTTCAATCAACAACTAATTCTTTGAAAACCTTGTCCAAGTTTTTTGGGTAGAGCTGGGGCTGGGGGGAATAGCCTGAAAGATCAGGTAGTACGTCTGGTAGGCACAAGGCAGATCTGATCCTAGAATAGTAGAGCCTCCTGAGTATCAGGAAGTACAGTCCAGGTAAAGAACGAGTTTTGCATATGGTGTCATCACCTGAATTTAATCCCTGGCACTACTTATGCCATACATTATCCTTGAGCACAGAGCCAGGAGTAAACCCTTGGTACTACCGGATATGGCCAAATACCAAAATAACAGGAAGTTCAAAACATAAACTTTTAGTCACTCAGGAGTCCAGCATGAAGAGTATGACAGTAAAATACATTAACAGAAGGAAAGCAAAAAAAAAAATTTTTTTAATTTTTATTAGTGGAATACCATGAGTTACAGTTGTAGACTTAGAAATTTTTGTGCTTGGGTTTCAATTATACAATGATCAAATACCCATCCCTCCACCAGTGCCCATTTTCCAACACCATGGATCCCAGTATCCCTCCCACCCCCATACACCCCATCCCACCCTGCTTCTGTGGCAGGGCATTCCCTTTTGTTCTCTCTCTCCTTTTGGGTGTTGTGGTTTGCAAAAGAGGCATTGAGAGGCAGTCATGTTCGGTCCATAGTCTACTTTCAACATGCATCTCCCATCCTGGGAGGATCCTCCAAACACCCTTTATTTAGTGCTCCCTTCTCTATCTGAGCTGCCCGGAAAGCAAAAATATAATGAAGTTTTCACCTAAGAGAGTTCCTATTTTAATGACGGAGAACCCGAGAAGCTCTAATAACAGCAAGGGAAAATGGGGAAAGGGGAAAATGAGACGTGTTAAATTTAGAAAATCCATCCCAAAATAAAAAATTTTAAATAAACTGCCCCCTGTAAAAAAAAAAAAAAAAAGGAGGGGGACAAAAAAGGAAATCCAAAGGGAATGAGAGCAAGAGACGACCAGTGTTAGAAAGGAAGTCTTTCTATGTTTGGAAAGGAGCATATAATGAATGATATGTACACAATTTATGACTTTTCTGGAAGCAACAGATTGTAAAACTGAACTAAGGCTGGGGTTTTCAGGTAGGCACAGCAAAAGAACTAGTGTGAAAGGGGTAGCAAGAGAGCAAAGGAGGTCTAACAAAAAATGGGGTCTAAGTTACAGTGAGACAAAAACCAGCAACTATGGAGAAGCTAAGTCAAGCTGAAGTCAAGAAACTAAAGTAAAGGGACTGGAGCAATAGTACAGTGGGTAGGACGTTGACCTTGCACATAGGATTTGAGCCACAGCATCCCATATGGTCCCCTGAGCACCACCAGGAGTAATTCATTAGTGCTGAGTCAAACTGAGTATCACTAGGTGTGGCCCCAAAACAAAACTGAGGGAGAGGGGGAATCTAAAGATAATACCTGGGTTCTACTTTCAACACTACAAACTTGCCTTCCTCACCCCTGACCCAAGTATCACCAGGAGCAAACCCCAAGCAGAGTCAAAATTAGCCTAGAGCACCGCCAGGTAAGGCCCCACTCCCCACTCACAAATACATAAGTCAAGGTAAGGTCATAGAGAAAATTAACCTAAAAATTATAATTAGTGAGGTGAAATATAAATCAGTGTCAGACCACATATTATTCCAGACATCTAGATGACAAAATCAAGTGTCTGACTGGACTTCACTGGTTTACTGAAATGAGAGTAAAGGTATCTAGAGTTGAGGCTGAACACCTGTAGATTACCCAGGATATTAGCAGTGTGCAAGCTCCAATGATTTCAAAATATAAAAAAAGAAATCAATAAAAGACAGTAAAATGGGGGGAAAAAATCAGTAAAAGACTGTAAAACGAGATCAGTCACAAAATTACTTCTAAATACAACAAAGAATTCAACTATCAAAAATGTTCCTCAAAAAATTCATGCAGGGTTTGGTAAAAGTTTCAAATAATTACTCTACTCATTCTTTAAAACAATCACATTCCTGCTCTAAAGAGAAATGAAGTATCTGAGTTTTGTAATCATGGGAATGAATGTTGTCTACAACAATCTCTTCTCAAATGGATACACCTTTCACTGGAGCTGGATCAATCCAGGAGCATTTGTTTGTTTACCTACAGATAAGATTTCCAGGAGGGCACAGGCTAATTTTTTTTTTTCTGAAAGGGGAGTGGTAGACCAAGTAAGTTTAGGAAGCCTCTACTGTACAAGTATGAACTACGTACCATTTTTATTCTAGCCTTCAATACCTCCAATCTTTAAAACATTCTTCTCTGCAATTAAGAAAACTATATTAAAGTCTGCCTCGTAAGCTGGTAGAGAAGGCAGCTGGGATAGAAAAGGGATCACTAAGTCAATGATGATTGGAGGGATCACTCACAATGGGAGATATGTGCTGAAAGTAAAGAACCAAATATGTTAACTTCTCAGTATCTGTATTGCAAACCATAATGTCCAAAAGGGGGGGAGGGAGAAAGAGAGAAAGAGAGAAAGAGAGAGAGAAAGAGAGAGAGAGAGAGAGAAGGAAACTGTCTGCCATAGAGGCAGGGGGTGGGGTTGGTGGGAGGGATACTGGGAGCATTGGTGGTAGAAAATGAGGGATGGGTGTTCGATCATTATATGACTGAAACTCAATCATGAAAGCTTTGTAACTTTATCTCATGGTGATTCAATTAAAAAACAAACAAACAAACAAACATATAGCAGCCCAGAAAAATAGATTAAGAAATAAAGCACATGCCTAGATGCCTAGCATGAATTTAGCAGTCCTAGACTCAGACCACCACTAGGTATCATCTTTAAAAAAAAAAAAAAATAGAACAAAAAAAAAACCCCAGTGTCATTCTCAAAGTTTTAAAAGACCCAAGCATCTATAGAAACGACAGGAAAATATACACACTGTCCCACTACAATCAATTCTTTAGGTGCAATCTGACTGGATATAAACTCTCTCATACCTAGATCCTTTAAAAAGGCAAAAATGAACCATTACTCACTGTCTTAACAGCTGTCTGCCTTGCTTCCACGTTAACTGGCTATTCTGAGGTGCTGTGGGAGCCTCTGTGTCTTTGGTTTCTTCTAAAAATTAATAATAGAACAAAGAAAGTTTTAAACACATTTTAGTTCCTTTAAAATATTTCCAGTTGTCTAATGAATAAATTCCCACCCCCCCAAAAAAATGTACCTATTCTTATAGAGGACACAAAAAATTAAATTTTGAGCATTTACTATGGGACACTCATTTTAAATTTGCTTATTGTGATAATCTAAACTCTTATGTACCACCATCCCTCATTTTCACACTGGTTAAACCAAAGAGTACATTAACTATCACTACTGGAGATTGTTATATTCTAAGTTTATGAAACAAGATCTTATATAAACAATTTCATTTTCAGATCTAAAAGTTAAACCAGAAAATAGCTGTTATTCTAGGTAGAGATACTGATGCTCTAAGGTAGCACTGCAGCACTGTCTTCCCGTTGTTAATCGATTTCCTCAAGCGGGCCCAGTATCGTCTCCATTGTGAGACTTGTTACTGTTTCTGGCATATCAAATACATCACGGGTAGCTTGCCAGGCTTTGCCATGCGGGTGAGATACTCTCAAGTGCTCTAGGTTACGTATTATAATATGTGCAGGCATTATAGTTTAATAAATAGTATAATTTCAAGTAAATTAACCTGTCAACAATCACTGACGTGAAATTTAAAACTATGACCACTAATGACATAAAGAAGCATTTTCCCATATACTCCCATTAACAAAATTAAGTTGGGGTAAGGGTGCTAGCTAAAGTGGCAGAGCAAATGCACAGCAAGGTCAAGTCCCCGAGTCTGATGCCTGGCACCTCATATCTCGGCACTGAGTGCTCTCCCTACTTTAAAAAAAATAATAAAAAATAAGTAGACAAGGAAGAGGTCAGAGATAATCATCTCCCACAACCAAGTGTTTAGGAGTCTGAAAAGTCTTCGCTGTTATATTCTCTGCAGGGTCAAAGCAATAGGACAGCACATAGGATGTTTGCCTTTCATGCGGCTAACCAGGGTTTGGTTCCTGGCACCCCATATGGCACCCCATATGGTAACCAGGAGTGACTGCTGAGTGCAGCTAGGAGTAAGTTCTGGGTACCAGCAGGACAGATGTGGCCCCAAAATAAAATTTGTAAATAAATATTTTCTGCAGAAGTATTTCTCTAAACTTATGAATTCCATTATTATTATCTTTCATTCTTCCCATGACAAAGTTTTATAACTTCCAGAAGCAATTATTTCATTCAAATAGTTCCTATTTTTACGTGGAATTCTATTTGTCATTTGTTTATATTTAAATCACATATAATAATTTTTAATTTAATTATACATATAATCCCCCCTGTCCAATTAGGAGGAAAAATAGTTAGTTACAAAAATTCCATCATCAATGGATACTTAAGACTTTATCATTCCAATTCCCCTGAAAATACATGCACAAGTGTCCTTCCCACCATTAAGAAGAAAGAGTGCAACAAGGTCAGGGAGACAGTTCAAAGAACTATGGTGCATGCCTTGTATTTAGAAGTGCCAAACTTTATTCCCCACACCAAAACATCCCAGAGCAACACTGGATGACACCGTGGTGGCTCCCAGCATTTCTGGCTTGAGCATCTTGTCAGCAAACGCTGGCCAAGTAAGGCTGGGAGCAGTTCCCAAGGCCTCCAGGTTTGCTGGGGAGGGCTCCCAAACCTTTCAAACAAAGAGAGTGAGCTGAAGTGTATGCTGCACTACAAACTGCTTAGACCCTTAATGTAGCTTGTACAATCTATGACAATAAAGATTAAGATAATACAAATTATGTAATTTTCTATAGAAAGTCGATTTAACTAGTCCCTTAACAGTGAAATGCATGTCCACTTGTTCCTATTATAAATATAATGCTGTTTTTTTTAAAGTCAACTGTAAACTTATATTCCAATGAAGTTTTGAGCACATCCATGTAACCAGTACCTAGATGAAGAAACACATTATCAGCATTCCAAAAGCATTACTATTTTTCAAAACCAAATATTAGGTACTCTTTCTTCAACTCTATAATCATTTCTAAAAACTGTTTTCATGACATAAATGAAGTCATTTATGTCAATTTTCAATTTTATGTGACCTTATGTAATCAAGTTTAGTTATTATTTTTGTTCACTTTCATTGCTAACTTGCACTGCTATGCTAAAACATTACAATATATCTACTCACTAATGTTGAAGGGCATCTGAGTTCAGTGCTTTTATAGAAAGAAAAACGATGCTGGGAACATTCTTTTACAATCTTAGGTTGAACATGTATAAGCATTTTAAGAAAACGAATTACCCAGGAACAAAATTACTGGATCATAAAGTACTTTATATTTTCCTTAGTACTATGGATGTATCAATTTCAAAGCAGTTCTATTTACAATTCAAATATCAGCAAGTCTAAAAGTTTGTTTCATACCAACAATCAGAAGACAAATAGCTTGATGGTAAAAATAAATCAACTGATGTATGAAGTGTTCCTGTCAACAAAAGCCTTAAAATTAAACCAAAAACAAACAAAATGTGCTACAATACCTAACTAAAAACATCTATACTAAGCTTTATTTTCCCCACCACATACCTTCTAACAATTAGGTAGAGAAACAATACAAAGGAAAGAAAACATGCACATTTTTTTAATATGGCATGAAAATTATTTTACTAAATCTAACCTTAGATGTTTTTCCCCTTTGCCTTATTAACCAGCACTTACGATCTAGAGCTCAATTTAAACTGTGTCCTCAAAAATGTATATACAGGGCTGGGGGGTGTAGTTCAGCTGCAAAACACATGAATGCAATAGACTTGGGTTCAATCCCCAATGTAAGGAGGAAAAAATAATATACATAAATAGGCTTTAAATATACCAAAGAAATAAGAAATTGCTAATAGTATTCCTAAATACTGCATGATTGATTTTTTATTATGACTTTCATATTAAAGTAATAAAGTGGAAACCTAAAATTAATATTAAATGATCAGCCTTTCCTATATCCTGACTTCTCTTCCCTAAATCAGTTTAGTTTAACTCTGTTTAATAAAAGGCAAATCAACTGGACATAAATTTTTGTTCTCTTATATTGCCTGCATCTGTAGTCTTAAAATTCAACTAAAGTTTTCTAATTTCTTTAAAACTAGGGTTTGGAGTGATAGTATAGTGGGTAGGGCTTTTGCTTTGCACATGGCCGACCCAGGTCCTATCCCCAAAGTAACTCCTGAGTACAAAGTCAAGAGTAACTCGAAGCATCGCTAGATGTGGCCCCAAATCCAAAAAATTAATTAATTAAAATAAAACTAGACTCCAACTCTAAAATAACTCAGAAAACTAAAAAAAAAAGTTTATAGAGTATGACAAAAATTGTCTACAGATGGAAAATCTTTCAACTCAAATCACTATAAAAATAGTTTATACAGTTTTAGCACATGAAAAATGAGTTAAGAAGCAGATCAAACTACTTCCTAGGTTCTAGTTACTTACTATCTTCCACCAAATTCCAAACAGTATCACAGTAGACAGCCTATCTGACTAACGAATGCTGAAAAAAGAAAAATGGAGGTAAAGGAAAGCCTATCACACAAAAATAAACTTAAAAGCAATTTGTCTTGAACTAGGAGTGGCAGAGAAAATTAACAAGACTAGTGATTACCTGATTCAAAAGTTGGCATTTTCAAATCACCTTGGTTTAGTTCTGTGCCATATTTTAATTTGTGATATTTTGCCCTGAAAATTTAATAACAAATTGTTAATTTTCATTGTTATTCTTGCTACACAGTAATGTAAATAGCGGTACATAATTTCCAATAACAAGCAAAACATAGTGAATGTTTACTTCTTAAATTTTATCTGCAAAGGAGCTGGAGAAAAAAGTGTATCACCATAAAAGTGATTAAAAACAAAAGCTGGGGAAAGAAAGAAAACTCAAAGGGCCAGAGCATATGCTTTGCAAGTGGGAACCTCAGCACTGTATGATCCTCAGAGCATCACCAGGTAGGACTCCAAAAACAATAAATATAACCAAGATGTCATAATCTAACATGTACACCCAAGTAAACATGAAAGTTTCTTTTATTTTTTTTTCTATCACAAACTTTGAGGCCAGAGAGATATTACAGAGAGGTAAGGTTGCATGTGGCAGACCTCAATTCAATCCCCAGTATCACATATCTAGTACTACCAGGGATCACACCTGAACAGGGCTAGAAATAGCCCCTGAGCTCTGCAAGGTGTGGACAACGCCACCCCCAACCACAATACCCCCCCACACATACTAATCATAAACTTATATTTCATAAAATGATTTCAATATAAAGATTTTTACAGAAACAAAATCTCACCTTGTATTTTGAATATAATTTTGTATCAAAGTCACGGCAGAGCCTGTAAAGCTACCTATGGCATTCTCGATATGCCAAAAACAGTAACAATAAAGGTTCTCATTCCCCTGACCCTGAAAGAGCCTCCAATATGACAGCATTGGGAAAGACGAGTAAGGAGAGTCTGCTAAAATCTCAGGGCTGAAATGAATGGAGATGTTGCTGGCGTCCACTCAAGTAAATCAATGAACAACGGGATGACAGTGATACAGTGATCTTTCAAAGAGTTTTAAACTGCATTCAATCAAAAAACTGTTGAATAGTAATAATATTGTTCTACTTCATTATAAAAATGAGGCACACATACCTTTCTTGTTTTAATGCATACTCTAACATCTTTATTCTTCTTACTAAATCCTTCTTCAAGTTTTCTTGACCCTTTCTTTCTCCTTGCAAAAATGCTATCCGGGCCTGAAAATGAAAATAGGAAGATTCAATTACTTCTTTTACATTTTTTAATTGAAAACAGGTAAACACCAAGTAGAAACTTTTAGTTTTATTCAAGACAGTAAGACCTAAAAATCAGAAGTAATCCACTCACTTGTAGGTAATACAATAACTTAAATAATTGTGATGTAAAGCCAGAGAGATAATACAGGTGAACTATGTAAGTAATTTGACTTGCACGCAGTTGACCCTAGTTAAATCCCTGGCATTGCATATGGTTTCCAAGCACAGGCAGGACTCACTCCTGAGCACAGAGCCAAGAATAGTGCACGAGACAGGGAGGTACCTTAAAATATACCAGCACCATAAGCACTATCAGGTGTGGCCCCAAAACAAATCAAACAGCTAACTTTAAAATAGCTATGGGAGTTGAAGCAGTTTGGGCGTTTGCCTTGCACACAGCTGACCAGGGGTATCCCACATGTTCCCCTGAGCACTGTCAAAGTAATTACTGAGTGCAGAGCCAGGAGAAACCCCTGAGTATCAATGGGTGGGATCCCACAAGCCAATAAATAAATAACAAAATAAAGTAGCTGTGACAGCACAGCGGTAGGGCGTTTGCCTTGCACGCAGCCGGCCCGGCAGAGCTGGGTTCGATTCCTCCACCCCCTCGGAGAGCCCGGCAAGCTATTGAGAGTATCTCACCTGCACGGCAAAGCCTGGAAGCTACCTGTGATGTATTCAATATGCCAAACACAGTAACAAGTCTCACGATGGAGACGTTACTGGGCCCACTCGAGCAAATCAATGAACAACGGGAGGACCGTGACCGTGATGTATTTAGAATGTGTCTAACACTAACAAATCTTCAGTTTATGTGTTAAAAACTATACCAATCCCTAATTTAAGTCACAAAACATAGTCCATTCATTTTTCCTAAAATGATGTTGCTTTAAAACATGCTATAATTCAAAAAAGCACGTTTCATAATCATAAAATACCTAAATGCTATTCAAGCCCATGTTAATAGTAGTTAAAGAAAACTATGGTGGAGTTCAGGCCCAATTCAATCAGCTAAACAGTGGCTGAATTAATAGCAGTACTCCTACATTTAAAAAAAAAAAAAGAAAACTATCATAGATGATGTGTTGATATAATATGTGCACTTACAACAGAACTTTAACCTAAAAAATGAATTTTTACACTGGGACGATTGCTTCTGCTGAGATTCTATGTGTATTACTAGTTCATAAGAAAAAACTAATCAAAATAATCACAGTTATGATTTAAAAAAAGAAAAAAGGGGGGTGGGAGAGGAATGAAACCCTTAGCCATTAAAACTTTTTAGTTTAAAAAAATTCAGTGGGGGCTTGAGTGATAGATTTCTGAGTGCAGAACCAGGAGTAGCCTGAGCATCACCGGGTTAAAAATAAAAAATAAATAAATTTCGTGAATATGAACTAGAAGAAATTAAGTAAAATGATTTAATCCATTAGACTGGGATCTAATCATTTCTAAAATAAATGAACAGAACACATCAGCTTAATTAAAAGTATAATAAATGCTCACTATTTTTGCACATTCAAAGAAAGCCCACTATTTTTTACACATTGAAAGAAAGCCCTTTCACAACTTAGTATATGAGAGCTGCAGGTTTGTTCCCCAGAACTGCATGGTTCCCTGAGTAACAGCAGTAGCAGCCCCCCTGAACACTACCAGGCATGGTCCCAAAATAAATGAACAAATAACCTGAAGGGGCCAGAGATGTTGCACAGCAACAAAAGACTTGCCTTAGGTTTGAGCCGGAGCAAGAGAGAGCAAGAGAGCAAGCGAGCAAGAGAGAAGAAAAACAGTGAGGGACAGGAGAAATAGTATGAGTTAATGTGCTGTTTGCCTTGAATGCAGCTGATCTTGGCTTGATCCCCAGCACATTGCCAGAAAATGACTACTGAGCAGAGAGGCGGCAGTAAGCAGCCCTTCAGTACAGCTGAGTCTAACACAAATCCCAATTACCCCCAATAGAAAAAGCATCAGTTGAAACCACCTATAACTCTAGAAAAGTTACAGATAGCTGTATAATACTTCTAAGGCATGTTTCAAAACAAAAATAGAAGACTGAGTGGAATGATAAAAATTCAAAATCTGGTAGCATAAAACCCGAAAAGGAAAAGTAGCACTTAAGACTAAAGCAATGAGACAAAGGTGAAATATGTCAATTTTATTATACAGGTTCAACAAATTGAGTTTGCTTCCTATATTTGCTGTTTCATTTTTCCAAACATAAATCACACGCTATAGAACCATCTTGTGACTTTTAGATCTCAAAAGCATATCACAAAGAGCAAAGGGATGGGAGGGAAGGGAAAAAAAAACTGAAAGCTGCTTATTTAAAATTTAAAGTAGAAATTGAACATTTTGTTTGAAATAGTTTGAAACTACAAAACTAAGTTAATGTCATAATGCTTCCTATGAGATTAAAAAAATAAATAAAAATGGCAATGTTTCTTACTGCAATTCCATACTATTATGAAAATTAGTTATCATGTCTTTCCTTTGGCAGTTTCGTATTAGAAATTACCCATTCTCAGGAGAATCTAGTAAATTAAGCAAAAAAGCCATGCACAAAAAAAAAAAAAAGGACTTCTAGAGTAGTTACTGAACAGAAGCTAAGGAAAATAATTCACAAGATGAAAGGACAAGAAAAAGGTGAGAAATCATTAAAATGAAACCTCTGAATGGAAACATAGCCCAACTAAAAATACTTTTAAGATGAGAGTGAAAAGCAGATGACACTTAAGTAATGAAGAATGGAACTGACCTTATGACCTTTTATGACATTACCTAGACAGATATACTTTCATTAAGACAAAGATCAGAGGTTAGGATATTTCACTGGTCAAGGGGCCTTGCATGAACAGGGACCTGAGTTTGATCCCCAGCACCACATCTCCCAGGACCACCAGGCCAAGCTGCATTCCTGGACCACAGCATAAAACCAGTCACTCAGCAGACTATCTCAGAAAGTGGCTTCTGGCATTCTGGGAGCCCTCCAAACACGAAACTAACAATAATAAAGGTAATGGTTATATCTAATAAAGGTAAGGTAAAGGTAAAGGCCCTCCCGTTGATCGTCGATTTGCTCGAGCGGGCCCAGTAACGTCTCCATTGGAGACTTTGTTGTTACTGTGTCTGGCATATCGAATACTCTCGGTAGCTTGCCGGGCTCTCTGAGAGGGGCGGAGGAATCGAACTCGGGTCGGCCATGTCGGCCGCTTGTAAGGCGAACGCCCTACCCGCTGTGCTAAGACTAATTAAATAAAAGATTTAACATTTAGTGGTACAGAATATGCTTTGAACAAGCGATGGCCTGCATTCTATCCCCAGTATTAAATGTATTTAAAAAAAAAAAACTGAGACAGGCAGTTAGTATAATTCCAATTAAACTGCCAACTTGTGTACAGGTGTGAAACTTGGTAAGTTGATTCTAAAATTTACAAAGACTCTGAAATTGTCAAGAACAATGGAATTGGAGAATGGCATGCTAAGTGAAGTGACACAGATAAAGGCAAATAATTCAATAATCTCACTCTGCAAAGTATAAAAAAGAAAGGAATCAGACTAGTCTTTCTCAATCTTTTTCCAATTGTGTCCCATTCTGACTTTGTTTCTTTTCTATGAACCCCTTTGTTTTAGTGCTATGAGCCCCACTTACGAGATTTTCACCTCTGGTGCTCTTGGGCTATTCTAGGCTCATGGTCCTGGGCAGAGAAACGTTGGCTTATACAATTCTCAATAGAAACAAATCTGAAATATGCTCACCAGAATTGGGGAACTGAGAAAGTGGTGTGTGTGTGTGTGGGGGGGGGGGGGGGGGGGTCCAATCGCTAGCACCAGGGGTAAAAAAGGAAAACATTGAGACACAAAAACAACATTCAAAATTCATCCTGAATGACAGCTCTGGGGGTTTTAGAACATAAAGTTCCAATTTAGATCCCTGACACTTCAAAGGCCCCTCTCATACACCAGCAACATCAGACCCTGGAGTCCTGAAGGAAGCAAATAGATGATTTGGAAGGAATGGGCTGCAGTGTTAGCAGTACTTTGTCTTGACCAAGAATAGTTCTCTGTCTAATAAGTTGCAGAATGACGTTTTATGCACAATCTTGTATATAAATTTATTTCACTATTTTTAAGTTAAACAATTAGTCTAAAGTTAAGAGACTGTTTATTGTGTTTATTGTGGAGATAAAATCAAAGCTAAGAGCATCAAAAGGTTCTACAATGGAATGGGTAATTGTCTCAGTAAAAGGACTTTAGTAGGAACTATAAATTTGGGCCAGAGGAATAAAGTAGGGTCATAGAGGCACCTGCCTTGCAAGCAGATGGTTACAAGTTCAAATCACCAATGTCTCACATCCACATTCAGGTAATTCTGCTATCTGTAATTGCTGGAGCTGCAGAAAGTGCTGGTCTCCTTGCACGAGATATGTTTACGCACCAAAAAAAGGTGTATGACCACCTGCCATATACAATAACTAAGAGACATGTGAGTGTCATAGACAGACAAGGACATGTGTGAACACCACAGCAACCCTGATGAACATCACAACCATAACTTGTGTACCTCAACTAAGAGTGCGAAACTTGGTGAGTATCACAGCACGGCATATAACCCCTTATCACTGTAACAATGAACAGTAGAGAAGAAATAAAATGAATCTATTACAATAACAATGATAAAGCTGACTACAGGTGAAACAGCATTTTAAAAAAATACATCTTTTTATGTACCTAAGCCATTAAATTTCAATGTTTTTAATTTCTTTTAAAAAGTGATAAAAAATGGGGCTGGAGAGATAGCACAGCGGGTAGGGTGTTTGCCTGCACGCAGCCGACCCGGGTTCGATTCCCAGCATCCCATATGGTCCCCTGAGCACCGCCAGGAGTAACTCCTGAGTGCAGAGCCAGGAGTAATCCCTGTGCATCGCCAGGTGTGACCCAAAAAGCCAAAAAAGAAAAAAAAG